ACCCTGAAAACCGACGTAGTAAAAAGATACTTCCTTACGGTGTTTTCCCATCTTCTTTGCAGATTGGTAGGGGTTCACAAGTCTGATCTGGAAGTCGCCCGCCCTTCTCGCAATACTAAAAAAAGAGGCGTAAGAATACGGACCGGAACATTAAGCACGGCAGTTTCGTGGAAATTTCGGTGGGTGTTGAAATCTGATCACGTTACCTTCACGTTGAGTGGATCCGAAACGTCATATTTGTAATCGCTGAAAGGGGATTGGTCATCATTAGTGGCGTATCCGGCGGCCATTTGAAGGCTCGGAACGCAAGTAGCTGCTGGACGGTCCCGTTCAGGCGCACCAGCTTGCTTCGCTGCTTCGAGTGCATCAGCGAGCACTCTGAAAGTAAAGCTCGCGCGAACCGGGGCTTGATGAAGTTTACGGTACTCTCCATAATGCTGTTTTTTTGTGTTCAAATCGCTAAATAAAGGTCAGAAACGGACCCATCGACAAAAATTAAGTGGCAGAAGGCACTTTTTAGTCGAGAAAACCTCATATTAGTTTTGAGATCGCGACAGTAAAGTAGTATACTTGCTTGCTTTTGCTGCTTAATGCGTTTCGGATCTTGCTGCTTCTACTCTTGCAGAAAAACTCAAATTTTGAGCGAGTACCGTAAAGTAGTATCCCCCGTAAACTACTTTACGGTACCCGATCTCAAAATTAGAATGAGGTTTTCTCCACTAAAAAGTGCCTTCCGCCACCTAATTTTTGTCGCTGAGGCTGTGACCTTTATTTAGGGATTTGAACACAAAAACCGCATTTTGGGAGAGTACCGCAAACCTGAATTTTCCCCGAACCGGAAAGATAAACACAAACAAGAACAAACGACGGACCTTGGCATGGTGAAGCCGACGTCGCACTGTACGAGGTATTGGTCGGTCATTTCAAACAGCTTGGTCTTGTACGCTTGCGTACTCCTGAAGCCAAAAACTACTAAAAATCAATAGCCCCTACCAGGCTTTTCCTTGGCATTGGCCGGCTGCCACCATTTCACGCGTACACATGTTGAACGGGAAAAGTATTTTATCTAAAAAAAAGTGTACCGGGGAAATGAAAAGCCAGACCTTTCCCAGCGTTGATCGTTGCTGGTAGAATGCAATTCGGTGCACCAGATACTTCTTCATCTTCTTTTGCCTGCTAGACAATGTTTGATACGTGGGCCGATACTTACACAAAATTTCGGACAACCCACTGTTTGAAATGACCGACCAATACCTCGTACAGTGCGACGTCGGCTTCACCATGCCAAGGTCCGTCGTTTGTTCTTGTTTGTGTTTATCTTTCCGGTTCGGGGAAAATTCAGGTTTGCGGTACTCTCCCAAAATGCGGTTTTTGTGTTCAAATCCCTAAATAAAGGTCACAGCCTCAGCGACAAAAATTAGGTGGCGGAAGGCACTTTTTAGTGGAGAAAACCTCATTCTAATTTTGAGATCGGGTACCGTAAAGTAGTTTACGGGGGATACTACTTTACGGTACTCGCTCAAAATTTGAGTTTTTCTGCAAGAGTAGAAGCAGCAAGATCCGAAACGCATTAAGCAGCAAAAGCAAGCAAGTATACTACTTTACTGTCGCGATCTCAAAACTAATATGAGGTTTTCTCGACTAAAAAGTGCCTTCTGCCACTTAATTTTTGTCGATGGGTCCGTTTCTGACCTTTATTTAGCGATTTGAACACAAAAAAACAGCATTATGGAGAGTACCGTAAACTTCATCAAGCCCCGGTTCGCGCGAGCTTTACTTTCAGAGTGCTCGCTGATGCACTCGAAGCAGCGAAGCAAGCTGGTGCGCCTGAACGGGACCGTCCAGCAGCTACTTGCGTTCCGAGCCTTCAAATGGCCGCCGGATACGCCACTAATGATGACCAATCCCCTTTCAGCGATTACAAATATGACGTTTCGGATCCACTCAACGTGAAGGTAACGTGATCAGATTTCAACACCCACCGAAATTTCCACGAAACTGCCGTGCTTAATGTTCCGGTCCGTATTCTTACGCCTCTTTTTTAGTATTGCGAGAAGGGCGGGCGACTTCCAGATCAGACTTGTGAACCCCTACCAATCTGCAAAGAAGATGGGAAAACACCGTAAGGAAGTATCTTTTTTACTACGTCGGTTTTCAGGGTATCATTGTTTGGGTCAAATGAAGTTCGAGATCCGCCTGACTGCGACAAGGCTTGCGAATACCAACACGGCGCTGCCTACGAGGATTGTGTTTTTCTGGATATCTCGGATCCGGATGGCCCGATTCCCTTCTTCACAGCCCGTCGAGCTCTGGTAGGCTTTTTGGATGATTCCGAAGATGTTATCTCTTTTCAGTCTGGTCCGTATGCCGTCTTCATGGATCTGGAAGAGAATCTGAAGGCCGATCAACTATAATAATTTTGTTGTGGTCTCCGTCCGAAGCCGAATTCAACTCGAAGGGGAAAGGAGCTAGAGCTTAGCTCTCTTCGGATTCGGATAGAGCGCCGTCAGAAACCCCCAAACTGATAAAAAAACTAAGAAAACGTTTTTGTTTAATTTATTAAAATTAACTTTGAAAGTTTTTTCCTTAGTAAAAGGGGTGGGGGACGGAGGTTGGGGTGATTTTGGACATAGTGAGCCAGGTGGCGCGCGTTTCGTGGATGAAAATTTTCACGGGGATTTCATTTCTTTTTTTTCTCTCATTCCATCCGGTCGGTCGTTATTTTTGTTTTTAAGGGGATTTCGGCTATGGGGGGTATCTGAAGCCATCAGGAAGGTATTTAGGTAGTTTTTGAAGGGGATTTCAGCCATGGGGGTATCTAAAGCCATCAGGAAGGTATTTAGGTAGTTTTTGAAGGGGATTTCAGCCATGGGGGGTATCTAAAGCCATCAGGAAGGTATTTAGGTAGTTTTTGAAGGGGATTTCAGCCATGGGGGGTATCTAAAGCCATCAGGAAGGTATTTAGGTAGTTTTTGAAGGGGATTTCAGCCATGGGGGGTATCTAAAGCCATCAGGAAGGTATTTAGGTAGTTTTTGAAGGGGATTTCAGCCATGGGGGGTATCTAAAGCCATCAGGAAGGTATTTAGGTAGTTTTTGAAGGGGATTTCAGCCATGGGGGGTATCTAAAGCCATCAGGAAGGTATTTAGGTAGTTTTTGAAGGGGATTTCAGCCATGGGGGTATCTAAAGCCATCAGGAAGGTATTTAGGTAGTTTTTGAAGGGGATTTCAGCCATGGGGGGTATCTAAAAGCCATCAGGAAGGTATTTAGGTAGTTTTTGAAGGGGATTTCGGCTATCGGGGGGTATCTGAAGCCATCAAGAAGGTATTTAGGTAGTTTTTGAAGGGGATTTCAGCCATGGGGGTATCTAAAGCCATCAGGAAGGTATTTAGGTAGTTTTTGAAGGGGATTTCGGCTATCGGGGGTATCTGAAGCCATCAAGAAGGTATTTAGGTAGTTTTTGAAGGGGATTTCAGCCATGGGGGGGTATCTAAAGCCATCAGGAAGGTATTTAGGTAGTTTTTGAAGGGGATTTCAGCCATGGGGGGTATCTAAAGCCATCAGGAAGGTATTTAGGTAGTTTTTGAAGGGGATTTCAGCCATGGGGGGTATCTAAAGCCATCAGGAAGGTATTTAGGTAGTTTTTGAAGGGGATTTCAGCCATGGGGGGTATCTAAAGCCATCAGGAAGGTATTTAGGTAGTTTTTGAAGGGGGATTTCGGCTATCGGGGGTATCTGAAGCCATCAAGAAGGTATTTAGGTAGTTTTTGAAGGGGATTTCGGCTATCGGGGGTATCTGAAGCCATCAAGAAGGTATTTAGGTAGTTTTTGAAGGGGATTTCAGCCATGGGGGGGTATCTAAAGCCATCAGGAAGGTATTTAGGTAGTTTTTGAAGGGGATTTCAGCCATGGGGGGTATCTAAAGCCATCAGGAAGGTATTTAGGTAGTTTTTGAAGGGGATTTCGGCTATCGGGGGGTATCTGAAGCCATCAAGAAGGTATTTAGGTAGTTTTTGAAGGGGATTTCAGCCATGGGGGGTATCTAAAGCCATCAGGAAGGTATTTAGGTAGTTTTTGAAGGGGATTTCAGCCATGGGGGGTATCTAAAGCCATCAGGAAGGTATTTAGGTAGTTTTTGAAGGGGATTTCAGCCATGGGGGGTATCTAAAGCCATCAGGAAGGTATTTTTGAAGGGGATTTCAGCCATGGGGTGTATCTGAAGCCATCAGGGAGGTATCTAGGTAGTTTTGGAAGGGGATTTCAGCCATGGGGTGTATCTGAAGCCATCAGGGAGGTATCTAGGTAGTTTTGGAAGGGGATTTCAGCCATGGGGTGTATCTGAAGCCATCAGGGAGGTATCTAGGTAGTTTTGGAAGGGATTTCAGCCATGGGGTGTATCTGAAGCCATCAGGGAGGTATCTAGGTAGTTTTGGAAGGGGATTTCAGCCATGGGGTGTATCTGAAGCCATCAGGGAGGTATCTAGGTAGTTTTGGAAGGGGATTTCAGCCATGGGGTGTATCTGAAGCCATCAGGGAGGTATCTAGGTAGTTTTTGAAGGGGATTTCGGCTGTGGGGGGGTTGATGGAGGTGGGAAAGGATGTGGTGGAGTGGGACATGTAGGGTAGCCCGAAGGCCAGATGGTTGCAGTCGCGAAGCGACTGTAACCATCTGGTGTGACAACGGAGGAGCCGGCTTCTGATGATTCGAATATTCCAGCAGCTGATTCCACCGCCAACGGAACGAAAGAAGCTCTTTCTGCTCTCCATTTCGATGAGGTTCTGATGCTTGTTATTTACTCGACAATACCTTTTGCAGATAGTGCTGCCCGAATTGAAAGATGGAGGAAACAGCCGGACTCGTCGCCAATCTGACGGCCAAAAGAAGATCCGATATCCTCGATGCATTGATGTGGATGGATTGGCGGTAGATGCTCAATTTATGACGATCAGAAACTTGTTGTATTTAGGCGGACGATCGGAAACGAGTCGAGGCGGATGTGATGCTGAATTGTGACAAGAACATCTTTGTCCTGTTTCGCAACGGCGACAAAAGCGGACTATCCATCAAGGCGCCGTTGTGCCAAGGGATCAATGACACTGTAAGCGATATTTTCTAATGATTGTTTCTATTTTGAATAGAATACAGTGAAAAGAAATGAATTCGCTGTTTCTAGAGAATCTGCACGAATCGATATGGAAGCACAACGGCGCCACCTCCAACCGTGGCCACGACAAGTCCTGATCTATTGTCGAGCGGAATCATCATTATCGGCATTGTGGCTGGTGAGTTATGATCTTTTTGTATCAAGATAATCTTCCTTCTTTCTTTCAGGTGCCGCTGTCATCTTGTTGCTACTGATCATCGGCATCGGTATTCGATGTGCAAAGAGAAAGTAGCCCATATCTTGTTTATCCTTTCTTTTGTCATTTTTTAGAAAGAAACCGGTGGAGGAAGATGTGGAAAACGCGGAATCCGTGTCAGAACCCAGTCCGAAAGTGTCCGAGCGATCCCCTGTCGTTCCCCAGACGCCCCTGATCGTCCACCCACCCGCTCCAAAGACACCCCCAACGAGACTGGCTGGCGGCCAGTACAAGCTTCTAACGGTCAACATCACTGGAGGGCATAAGCTGCCTTTGGACGGAAAAGTACAATGACCTGAGTGATCTGGTCCAAATGATTTTTTAGCCGGCAGCAAACGAACGTCCAGCCGATCGAGCGGTTAATGAACGAGCCGGCGTCTATGATTTGGTGGCTGAGGGAATTGCGCTGCGAATCAACCGCGCCGATTTGGTTAGTGCCGCTTTCGGATCGCGGGAAATACGTGCACAAAGAGAGTAGTTCTTACAGAAGTAAGAAAGTGGAAGCCAGGTTATTTTTTGCCGCAAAAAGGAATGTCGAAATTCAAACGATACATTGAAGTTTCTAGAAAATGAAATATCCGGTAAGAGTCTAGTTTACCCCCCAGCCGTAACTTTTCAGCCATATGTTGTATTAATGCGCCGGGTATCTCAAAAAGTATTACCGAATTACTATAGCCAATTGGTTTTCGTACAACAAAAATTGTTAGAATTTTTTTACAAGATTTTGAAAGTTGAAAAGATTAGGACGCTATGCTTCGATGTATCAGGAGCCTAAAACTCAAATATTTTTATTTTCCGCTATTTTTATTTTTTCGACTCAAATGCATTGTAGGCTGATTTTCCAGAGCAAGAGGTACATTTTGGTACCATTGACAGCTCTGTAGGACAAAAGATAGCCGAGATACGAAAACTCACTTTTGACCAGCAAAAGTTAACTAAAGAAAACCCAGACTTATGTAAGAAAACATCTTGTCTATAGTAATTCGACCACGGCAAACATTTTGAGATACTCGGCGAATTAATAGGACGCATGGCTGGAAAGTTACGGCTGGGGGGGGGGGAACTAGACCTTAGCCAAATATCCAAACAACTTAATTCGAAAAGTGGCGATTTTTTTAAAGCTTTCTATGACTTTTCTAGACTTTATGAGACGTTGCAGAGGCCGTTAACATCCGAGGACGCCCCACCCGCCGTGAAGGAAAAGCCAACCGACAGAAAGGGATCCACAACTTTAATCAAAGTTTGTTGCCTAGCTTTCATTAATTTCCGATTTCCGAAAAAGCTTTCAGGCATTTCTAGAACGCAGCAGTGATCGGTTCTTTCGCATTATTTGGGGGGGGGGCAAACTTTTCTGCATAAGTCTAGAAATGCCTAGTAACTTAATAGAAAGTGGTTTAATAGTGTTTTTAGTGATAATAACTAGATTCCAACTAGAAAAACTATCAATAATAAATTTTAACGTCGAAATTTTGCTCAAAAATCGACGATTTTTGATCGAAAAACCGATATTTTTGACATCTGTCCTAAAAATCAAAGCTGGTTTTTAGGGTATAGAGCCTCGGTTCTTTTTCACGACGGTCGACTACAATGCTGCGACGGCCAAGGATCCGAGGGTCGTGGCGCTCGAGATCACGAAAAAGTTCGGCGGCGAGGGCTGGCTATCCGAAGGCGACAAACTCGTACGAATTAGGTGAACCATCTTTAGTCAATCTTTGCAGCCGTCCTACGCCCCGCACCCAGATGATCTTCGCAGTTTATGCGTCAATCTGACGCCGATCGTGACCGCTGAACGAGGTGTGGCGCGTCCAAAGGGAAAGACCCTTGTCGTTGGCGACATCCATGGCAATGTCGGTATTTTGCCGGTTACCGGCTATTTTTAGGGCAACCATTGGGATGCCTGATATTCAAAGTTTGCTCTTCAGTTCAACGAGCTCTGGCGTATCATCCACGCGTGGCGTTCGGATGTTACTGGTGGAGGGCCCGATCAAAGGTAGTTTTTTATCCTATTTTAAGGCATAATAAATATAATCAAAGAGATCAAGGCGTTGTAGGCCAATACTGCACCCTCGGGGTGTCGTCAAATTAAAATTGATAGTTTTTGGACGCCCGCGAGGCGGGTCTTTGTATGGGTGGTTTATTAGCCGATATTTCAGTATCGTATTCCTCGGCAACATCATCAGTGGTGCCCCTCGGGCGCTTGAATGCTTCACGATGATTCTGGCATACAAGGTGCTCTTCCCCGATCAGGTGACAGTACCCATAGAGCGCATATAGTCTACCTCCTTCAGGTGTTCCTGATTCGTGGAAACCACGAAGACCTGGATTACATCCGACCCTTTGGAGAACGCGTGGCGAATCGCTACTACGCACGGGAAGTGTTCGATATGCTGCACCATTTCTTCAAAATTCTGCCGTCGGCGGGTCTGATTGACGAGCGGATTCTCTGTATGCACGGCTTGATGTGTAAGTGTTTTTTCGCCAGGGATTTGCTTGGCGCCGTCGACGAAACGCGCCCCCCAATGAAAACGATTCTTTCTTTTCGATTTTCGAATTTGCCGGCAATTATCTTACAATACTAATATTTTTTTGCGAAATCGAAGCCGAAGTGTGACAAAGTGAAGCCTGCGGAAAATGTACCAAAAAAACTTGAGCTCCGCCGCTACGTTTATTTTCGATCTAACTTGCTTTCAGCACTTGACCTGACGCCGGAACTTCTGCGCGAGGGGTGGGAAGTGTCAGAGAAGCCGACTCCCTACGATGATATGACCAAGCACCTTCGATGGAATGAACCGGCAAAAGATGTCGACGGGTGGGCATAGTTTTTCCTTGCGTTGACTCAAAAAGACTTGCAGTTACGCACCCAACCCGTATCGCGATTTCGGACAGCAATGCGGCGTTAAAGCGATCGAAGAGGCTATGGAGAGCTTCAACGTTCAATTCATCATCAGAGGCCAACAGGTATTTTTCAGGGTGTTCAAATATGTACGGCTCTGTCCTCGTTGACGATCGTTTTATAGATGATGCCGAACGGAGTGCAATCGTTCGACAGGCTCCGGCTGGTCACCGTCTTCTCATCGTCTTTCTACGGCGGAAATGTAGGAAATCGCCGCGAAACATATGCTGCGGATTCTTCTAGAAGAATCTGGGTGCTATCCTGTACGTCGACCCCGAGAAGAATGCCATCAAACCAATCTTCATCCTTAACATCAATGACGACATCTCGAGTACGTTTAAGAGAGAAGCGTAAAAAAGCAATCAGAAGTGATCCACAACGAGAGTTTAAGAACCTCTTCGCCGCTTTTGAACCGCTGCCTGGTCTGAAATCTGAAATTTGGGCTCGAGTCTGGCGGGCGTTTTTCAAATTTTTAAGTGGCGGTCTTCAAAAAACATGAAGCCTTTGCATGTCGAGAGCTTGCGATAGATACCAACCCGTAAAATCGGACACTCATCAAGACCGTATAATAGTGAGCACCCTTTTAGCGCAGGAGGAATTAGACCGAAAGCTTGATGCAGGATGGGCGATCGATGGCTATGCAGTCCCGCCGCCGGTAAGCGACCTTTTCTAGCCGAAAACATGGCTTTAAAGGCAAAAAATTCTTGAAATGAGCCATCGTGCCACAGCTGGTTCTGTTGACCCCGAAAGTACGGGTGTCGACCGGTGTCTTTATTTGGCAACCACTCATCTACCGTCATTTTTTCAGAAAAAGGACGCGAATGACAAGAAAAGCAGCTGATTCCCAGATGATCGACTTCCGCAGCCGTCAACGATAATATTACCGAAAAAACCTTTGACTTACTCGCTCTTGTGTGATCCCCAATATTCCCCCGAATAGTGTCCCTTTCGCTGTGATTACTGATTCTTCTACGGATATTCCTTGGTGGGAATAAATGTTTGGCACGAACACCGCGACATGCTCTTGAACGCTTCCAAATTTTTTTAAATTCGTAATTTCGGTCGAAACATTGATATTTCGGATCTCAATAGAATCTTTGTAATTTTGACATTTGGGGTACTTAAAGCGCACGTTCAGGGAGCGGCCGTGTACTCGTCCCAACGTGGACACCCTATGGACGTTGGGACCGCGCGCACTGCCTGCCCGTGCTGTGACAGGCCATTCCCCCTCCTTTGCGGCGTGGGGCGCCCCTAGGCCCTCGCCAGGTTGTACGTGTGGCTGACTGGTATGCGACCGCATCTCCCGATCGGGAGACCCGGGTTCGACCCCCGGCCGCGGCGAAATTCTTTGCTTCCTTGCCCAAAAACGTCCCTGAACGTGCCCTTTAAAGGGCTTGTTCAACTTTTAGAGCTTGGGCTGGTACCTTGGGACACTATGGACGTAGGCACAGTGCGCCCTAACAGTCCCCCATTACGGCAGCTATTAGAGATTGGGGAAAAGGGGAGAGGCGCAGACACAAAAACGCAGAGAGGGTTCGACTCCTGACCGCGGAAATTCTTTTGTTTATTGGCTGAACTAGCCCTTTAAAAAAGTAGAATTACCTTTGCAAAACTGATAACCATTCCAAAAATTTGAATTGGCAGGGCTTTTCCGTCCCGGTTTGATGAAATTTCACTCACCACTCCCACGACAAGTTACAGCCTCTTCTACTCGACCATCTATGAGACGTCGTCATCGGCGGTTGATGGATGATGATGGCTGGATGCGGATCATCTGCTCGTTCATCCTCGCCCTCTTCTTCACCGTCAATGTCAACGCCAAGGCGTTAGTTTCTTCTGTGTTTCTCGGGCAATGGAAGTGATAGTGAATTGTTTCTTTTCTCGGCGAGCCTAATTTTCTCTATAAATACCGGTTGCGGTTCTACATCGTTTTGGACTATTCCTAGGCGTAAAAACTTTAGAAATTTTAATCAAAAATTTATTTTAGGTCGAAAAACTGATTTTTTTGAGCCAATGACAAAATTTTTCACTTCTCGAACCCTTATCTAACTTTAAAAAAAAATTCTTACTTTAAATATAGTGAAAAATTACTGAAAACACTGAAAAAAAACACTATTTTTTGTCTTTCCAGAGACATCAATCTACCGCGTCAGTCCACCCGCCATTCCTTGAACAGTCCATCCACCCTCCTCCCCGACAATCATCATCTTGTTCGCCGTGAGGGTGCAGCTGATGTACGCTCATTCCACGGGGTCCCGACTATTCAGGAGGGCGCGCACGAGGGACGGGGCACTCCACGGGACGGGTGGGCCGGCTGCGCGCACAGCGAACCCTGAGACCCGCAAAAGGCCTTAACAAAAGGGGGAAAAAGTGACAAATTTTCGCGCTTTCAAAATGCGTTAACTTTTTTTCTAGAAAAAACTGTCGAGGCGGCTTTTCGCATATGCTAGAACAGACCCTAAGGCACCTTTTCCAAAAGAGCTCGGAGCAAATCTGAATCAAAATAAGGAGTTCAAAACTTTTTTAGCGAGCAGAAGACCGAAAATTCACCCCTTTGTGCGCAGCGCTTTTCTTTGAATATAGCCATTTTCTGGGCTCCTTTTTCGTATATTTGCATCGCCTGAGACTTGCCAAGGATCAATTGCTTGCTTTTTCGGGGTTGGGGGCTGTAATGGACGAGATTGAGGCCCATCCATTTTGAGCAATTTTGAATTCTGGAGTAGTACTGAACTATTTGGCTTGAATCTAGTTTGTATGACTATCTGTCTATATATTCAGCTCTGTTTTATATCTATGTGACTTAAATGAGTACTCCAGCACCACTATTCACGATTTCCTTGTTTCTGACTCAGGAACCATATAGTTTGTTATTTTTCGGCATTGGCTATGCTATAGAAGAGTTGCTGGCACCTTCAACCACTTTTTGCAAAAAAGAGCAAAACGATCTGACGGTACGGGGGGTCAGAGGTATCGAACCAGCACCCCCCTCCCTGTGGCCTGTGACCGCCGCCTTAGACCACTCGGCCACGCCCCTCCCCACCCCCCGTGCGCGCTCTGAGACCCCGTGATTCATTTATTCTGTAAAAGATTGTTTAGTGTCAATACGGTCGCCTTTTCCTGTGCTACGCCTACGAACATCTGGCTGATGCCGGAATCGAGATGCCGGCCTGGTTGAAGACGGAATGTCCAGAATGTGTGGCCAAAACATGCGAAAAGCCCCCTGGAACCGGAGGCTCCCCAAGGCTCAGGGTTACTGACGCTTGCAAACCCTATTTTTGTGTAAGTCGAACGGATGCGTTTTTCAACAAGATCTTATAGAATCCAGAAGAGAACAAAGAAGGAGACGTAGCTGGTGCGCCAAGTTGCGTTCTACCCGTGCCGATCAACGCTGGGAAAGGTTTGGCTTGATACTGTGATATTTATGTATTTTTGGAGGTTTTTCGCATTCTGGGGTTGGGGGAGGCATTTTTGATCAAAAAATCCATATTTTTTTGTATTTGATGATAAAAGTCTGTAGTTCTGTATTTAGGATTAGTAAAAATTTTTTAGAACACGTGCCCTATTTATGCCTGAAACATTGCAGCCTACAAAGAAATCCCCCCCCCCTCCTCCCCCCCGATAAGGCGCAAGAATCTATTTTTTCAAACGGAAAATTATCTAATCTGGAGTTTTGGCACAACAATAGATATTTTATGTGGTTTTACATGTCGTAATATTAAAATCCGCCCGGATAATGCGATAGCCCCTTTTTAGAGAAAGTGCTGTTCCCTTTCAACTTGTGCACACGAGAAATGGTGGCAGCCGGTGAATGCGAAGGGAAATCTTGGTGGGGGCTAACTGATTAATGATGACAGCCATCTAGGAGCACGAAAACGTACAGCATCGGTGGAATTCCACTGACCAACCAGTACTTCGTGCAATGCGATGCTGGCTTCACCATCCCTTGGTGGGTACATCCGACTTTTTTCCTGGAATGCCTGCCCGGCTCTGTCCGCGGAGAAATGCAACGAAATATATGAGGATGTTATATTTTATACATTATCTTTTTGCGCAGCGTTTGACAAGGCAATATTTTCCGTAAGAATTAAGGTTTCCGTGTTGAATTCTACTTTCAGGGTCCTCTCGGAAGCAATAGAACTTGCAAAGCAAGCTGATGCGCCTGAACGGGACCGTCCAGCAGCTACTTGCGTTCCGAGCCTTCAAATGGCCGCCGGATACGCCACTAATGATGACCAATCCCCGTTCAGCGATTACAAATACGACGTTTCGGATCCACTCAACGTGAAGGTAACGTGATCAGATTTCAACACACACCGAAATTTCCACGAAACTGCCGTGCTTAATGTTCCGGTTTTCTACGCAGCTGTTCTAGTATTGCGAGAAGGGAGGTCGGCCCCAAGATGGAGCTTGTGAACCACTACCAATCTGCAAAGAAGATGGGAAAACACCGTAAGGAAGTATCTTTTTTATTTACGGATGTCTTCAGGATATCATTGTTTGGGTCAACTGAAGTTCGAGATCCGCCTGACTGCGACAAGGCGTGCGAATACCAACACGGCGCTGCCTACGAGGATTGTGTTTTTCTGGATATCTCGGATCCGGATGGCCCGATTCCCTTCTTCACAGCCCGTCGAGCTCTGGTAGGCTTTTTTAGGAGCTTCCGAAGATGTTCTTTTCAGTCTGGTCCGTATGCCGTCTTCATGGATCTGGAAGAGAATCTGAAGGCCGATGTGACAACGGAGGAGCCGGCTTCTGATGATTCGAATATTCCAGCAGCTGATTCCACCGCCAACGGAACGAAAGAAGCACTTTCTGCTCTCCATTTCGATGAGGTTCTGATGCTTGTTATTGACTCTACAATTCCTTTTGCAGATAGTGCTGCCCGAATTGAAAGATGGAGGAAACAGCCGGACTCGTCGCCAATCTGACGGCCAAAAGAAGATCCGATATCCTCGATGCATCGACGTGGATGGATTGGCGGTAGATGCCCAATTTATGACGATCAGAAACTTGTTGTATTTAGAAGGAAGATTTGGCACGAGTCGAGGCGGATGTGATGCTGAATTGCGACAAGAACATCTTTGTCCTGTTTCGCAACGGCGACAAAAGTGGACTATCCATCAAGCCGCCGATGTGCCAAGGGAGCAATGACACTGTAAGGGATCTTTTGATAAATGATTGTTTCTATTTTGAATAGAATACGGTGAAAAGGAATGAATTGTATGTTTCTAGAGAATCTGCGCCAATCGATATGAAAGCACAACGGCGTCATCTCCAACCGAGACCACGACAAGTCCTGATCTATTGTCGAGCGGAATCATCATTATCGGCATTGTGGCTGGTGAGTTATGATCTTTTTGTATCAAGATAATCTTCGTTCTTTCTTTCAGGTGCCGCTGTCATCTTGTTGCTACTGATCATCGGCATCGGGATTCGATGTGCAAAGAGAAAGTAGCCGATATCTTGCCAATCACATCTTTTGCCATTTTTTTAGGAAGAAGCCGGTGGAGGAAGATGTGGAAAAGGCCGAATCCGACTCAGAACCCAGTCCGAAAGTGTCCGAGCGTTCCCCTGTCATTCCCCGGCCGATATCAACAGAGCCTCCATCCGGACTGGCTGCCGGCCTCTACAAACTTGTAACATCCACGATTTCCGGAGGACACAAGAAACATTTCGTAAGGATGGTAAGCCGATGATTTTGTAATAAAAAGAAATGCCATCGTTGTTTTAGACAAACACAGCGCAAGGCCCGGCGGAGCGCATTCCCGGCTCCTTCGAATTGGTGGCTGAGGGGTTTGCTCTGCGAATCGACCGTGCCCACTTGGTCAGATGGATGTTCTAATGTTTCACACGATTCGATGCTTTTCAGAATCCGTTGAAGGACGAGAAAATGCCACCACCAACGACGGTGCGTAATCTCTCTTTTCTTACGGACACCAGTTTCGCAAAACTCGGCGCGCAGACCCGGCCAACCGCCCCCGACTAGATGAAGGCTACCATTTAGAGTTTCTTTCGAATATTTTGTGTTGGCTTGATATTAGCGGTTAGGCCATCTCTTTTGTTGAGGAAATATTTTTTTGACAAAACGGTTTCAGGATCCGGTGGCTGAAGATAAACTTCCAGTAGACCGGAACGACAAGTTGGTAAGTGTCGAAGTTCTCCTACAAAGAACAAGATAACATCCGCAAAGCGGCCTTGCGACCCCGGTTGCCCATTAATTAAATTTCGCGATTCCAGGCACGACTCGACCCGGTCTACTTCATGACCGCTGCAACGCCCGATGCCAAAGCCGTGGCACGGAATATCGTTGAAACGTTGGGCAGTGAAGCCTGGCTCTCGGAAGACAATAAAATGGTCAGTGCTGAAGATAATCGTATAAATATCAGGTTTTGGGTAGGTGATAGTATCTGCCCATTTTCTGGATAGTTTTGTGGAATTAAGGTTTTGAATTGTTGCAGCCGGTCTACACTCCTAGCCCGGATGCGCTACGCAGCCTCTGTGATCACCTGCGTGCAATTCTGTTGGAAGAGCACGCCGTAGTGAGGCCAAAAGGGAAAACGATTGTCGTTGGGGACATCCATGGAAACGTGGGAATATTTTTGGTGGGACTTCTTAGAAAAGCAACTTTTGAGTTCAACGACCTCTGGCGAATTATCCACGCATGGCTATCGGATGTTGCTGGTGGAGGGCCGGGTCAAAAGTAATTTTTTTTCGTTTCCTGCCGATTTTTTTAGCCTGCTCTTCCTCGGTGACATCGTTGATCGCGGTCCCCGTCAAATTGAATGCTTGACGTTGATCATGGCCTACAAAGTGCTCCTCCCCAAACAGGTAACACAGCATTTACGCGACCGATCGCCCGATGTTTTGCTACTCATTCTTTCGTCTCTTCCAGGTGTTTCTCCTCCGCGGCAATCACGAAGAGAAGAGTATATGCAGCCTCTTCCGATACAGTCTGGCCGAGCGCGGATACTCGGAGGCTGTGGCAAAGCTGTTCTACAGTCTCTACGACGTCATCCCGTCAGTGGCCCTGATCGACGAGCGATTGATCTGCATGCACGGATTGACGAGTCGGTTTTTCCGGTGAACGTTAATTTCGCCGATTTTTTTGATAGCTGGAACGGTTCTTTCGCATTTCCGGGGGGATGGGACCGAAATTGTTTGTATAAGTCTAGAAATCCTTGTAAGTTAATGGACGGTGTTTTTAATGTTTGTTAGTAATATATAATTATATTTAAACTAGGAAAACTATCTAAAGACTTGAAAAGTCGAGATTTTGGTGAAAATCCACCTTTCTTTGGTAGAAAAAGCTATATTTTTGATGCTCTTCAATAAAAATTTCCAAGTTTTCATGTTTAGGAATAGCAAAAAAACCATCTAGAAATGCTTATATTTGCAAAATGAGATCTTAAGAAAAAATTTGCTCCCCGCCCCCCTCCCCGAAATGGGAAAGAACCTTTCCCGATCACAAAGATCACCATTTTCTAGCGGGCGACCTGACGCCAGAACTTCTTCGGAAGGGATGGGATCCTCGTGAAGAAACGTTGTTCGACATGAGCCGGCATCTCCGATGGAACGACCCCGCAAAAGATGTCAAACTGTAAGCGGAACTAATTTTGGAACCGACCGCTTAGCGTGTTTTCGACCCTGTATTGCCAAAACCGGTCTCGTTATAAGTATACAGCAGCCATTCAGTTACGCTCCCAACACCTCGCGCAACTACGGACATCTCTGCGGCCCGAAGGCAATCCAGAAGGACATGGCCAGGCTCGGCCTCGAGTTCATCCTCCGTGGCCATCAGGTTGGATTTTATTTAATTAGCTTTATTCGGAAGTTGAATGCCTATAAAAAGCATTGTAATTTTGAAAAAATTGGATGTAACCGTGCACTATAGTCGATGTCGAACGGTGTGAAGAGGTTTGAAAACCTGCCCGTGGCTACCATCTTCTCATCGTCCTTCTATGACCCAAACGTACGTATTTTACCTTCAACTTTTCGTATTTTTCGCGCATTTGTTCAGCATTAACAGGTCCGTTGTGTTCACTTCGCTGCACTTTTCTTTTTTCAGCCAGAAGTAGGCGAGAAGCTGCCAACACCGCGTGTATTGGTATGTTGACAAATGGTTCTTTCGTATTATAGGGGGGTGGGGGACTAACCGGATGAAAAAACCAACCCTTTTCTTATGATCTAGTTTGCGCATATAGATCGTGGAAGTGTTTTTAAATCGTTTTTGCTATTCCTAAACGTGAAACTTTACCAATCCTACTATATATAAAAAAATAGTGTGTGTGTGTGTCTGTGTAGATTTGCATCCACTTCCGGATGTATGTTCCGCTCATAACGGGTCAGGGAAGAAGTTTTCCGACATGTTTGACACGTCATTTGGTGCGTAATTGAGTGGAGATGACTGCCGACTTATTAGAATTGTCAAAATTTACTATTTTCGACATTAAATTTAGGTTTTTGTGAAAGTACCTTTGTTAGGCAAAATTTGCATGCACCGGTAGTGGAGATTGCCTATAAAATCAGGCTACAGAGCAGATTTCCCCTTTTTGTCAGCGGGATTTGGGTAGAATATGAAAAGTATTTTTGTGATCGTACCTAGACGAGGGCCAGGGGTGAAAAGCCGCGGAGCGGCTTTTCAACCCTGGTTTGTATTTAAAAATCAGAAAATATCGTTGTTTTTTTTTGACCGAAAAGGCCGATGTTTTACCATAATTTCGACTTTTTCAACATTTTTAAAGTTCTAGATAGTTTTTCGAGTTTAAATATAGTTATATATATTAAATACACTTTCTTTTAAGTTACTAGACGTTTCTAAACTTATATAAAGGTTTTTAGTAAGATTTTGTTGACGAAAGAGTCTTTTCAGGACAATCTGGCCGCGATCCTGTACGTCGACCCGGCGAAGAACGTCATCAAGCCGATCTTCATCATTAACATCAACGACAACATCTCGAGTACGTTCTCGGAAACAGCCCACGAATTCTATAAAAAAATCCGCCCAACTATTCATCCCGTTTCAGCGCAGGAGGAATTAAACCGAAAGCTTGAAGCCGGATGGAAAAAGGCTGATTATGAGCCGGCCGACCCGGTGAGTTTTTTAAAAATGTTTTGTTTGTAATACTTAAATATTGTTGCTTTTCAGAACGACATCACGGTTGATTTGCGAAGCTCCAAATCGAGCTCCTCTGCCCAAATGAGCTCCTCCGACACGAAGAGCCCGAATTGAGCCCCCTCTTCACGACCACAGATGCACGAGACGAAACTGACTGATCCCAAAAAAACTCGCTCGCAATCCCGATATCCATCACAAATATCTGTATCAATATCTGATGTTCATCCGCTACTAATTCTATCGCTCAATGTCATTTCTTTCCTTTTCCTTGTGATGATTATCTTGTACGGGAATAAAATCCGATAAAAAAACCGACGGTACTGGTTTTGCAACGCACTGGTAGATAAGGTGGATCAAAAAACCTACGTCTACCGACCGAGAAATGCCGAGTTTTAGAATTTAGATGTCCATTCAGTTTTAGCCGATGAAAATTAGGCGAAATGTGCTAACCGATTTTCCAAAGTTTTAGATTTTTGTAAGATTCACCGGGTGTTTGCGAATTTCTGACGCTTTTGAGATGTAACGGTTTTTGCAAAGAACGTCGATTTTTAAATGTTTACTTTTGTGTTCCAGGTTCTTTATAGCTTTTTCAAGGAGTTGAAAAACACACACCGTGGATCCAGCAAAAGTCGATTAATTGCGTTTTTAGAAAAAACGTCTTATTTGTGCCATAAATCAAGCCAAGAATCGAGCAGAAAATCCTGGGATTTGGAAACTCTGTTAGAACATGCCGGGCCTCGAAAGAATGAGGATTTTTGCTGGCTTCTAGCCTTTTATTTAGATTCTAACTTTAAAAAGTGAATTTCCAGAGTCGTAGAACAGAATGCGCTGATTTGAACGTGGCTAACTAAAAAGAAAGCTGCAATTCAAAACCATTTGCGCGAAAGCTTTGAAGTTCCAATTTTAGACTAGAGGTTGGGTCGAAACTGGGTGTTTTGAAGCGTCGCGTAGCTTCATTTTTCTTGACGGCCGGAAGATTGGCTTGAGTTGCCGTACAAAGGTACCCCGGGCGCGTAGTTTCAACTTTAACGCCCAGCGCTTTTCGCGTGCCGTTCGGGTGATATGACGAAAATTGAGGGATTATCGATAGTATGGCTTAAGCCCCTCGCCCACCGCTTTGACAATCGACGGCGCTGATAGCAAAATAGACACTCGCCGACTCGGAGCACCAATGCCGCCAATTTCCTACGTTTTCTGCGCTTTTCTCGCGCTGGAAGCCGTGTACGGATGGCCAGAACAGGACAAGGTAAGCCTGGAACCCAATAAAACTTTTGCATTAAGAGAAAACCTTGCAAAAATCGAAAAAACCCGCTAAAAAATTGCATTCAGATCGGCAGCCTGCCGCTCGTCAACTTCACCGTGAATTTCCAGCAGTATTCGGGCTACCTGCAGGCATCTGACACCCACAAGTTCCACTATTGGTACGCTACACTCTTTGGTGCTTTGGTATTATCGGGGGTATCTGGGGAAAGCAACGCTTATCTTAGGGTACCTTATTTTTCTAAGTATTGAAAGTGTCCGAAACCGTTTTTCACTATTCCTAAACCTAAGATTTTACGAATTTTAGGAAACAACCGTTTTTCGCGAAAAATTTTGAGTTTAAAATTTTTTTAAGCTTTTTAGATAGGTTTTAAACTTGAAATATAGTAGAATTTTACTAAGAAGCTTATCAAAATACTTTTTCTTACGTTTTTATGCATATTTGGATGTATACAAAAAGAAAATCCATTTTCCCCGTCATACCCCCCGATAATGCTCAAGTAGCATCGCGTCAATTTAAATAATAATTGGGATTTTTAGCAGTACGGCTGGCTTGCGTTGTTTTTTTGCGCTACAAGCTACACCCCGTTTACAGGTTCACGTTTTCACAGCACGACTACACGAAAGATCCGGTGCTGCTGTGGCTCAATGGGGGCCCCGGATGTTCCTCGCTCGAAGGCCTACTCGAAGAACTTGGACCTTTTAGGGTTTGATTATTTGATTTAAAAGCAATATAATTCGTTTTTCAAAATTAAATAAAGGAAAACCAATTTTTTGAAATTCCCAAAATCCGTTCGTTTTTAGCAACTTTATCGTCTAGATCGGCAACAATGGAAACGTCGTCTACGCAAACCCGTACAGCTGGAATAAGGTTTTTTGCGATTCGTATAATTTTAAGCTTTTAAAGTTTGCCTCTGTGCTGTTCGTGGAATCGCCGGCCGGCGTCGGCTTCTCCTATACAACCGACGATGATTTGGCCACCGACGACGATGAAGTTGCCAAGGATAATTATAATGCTTTGGTAGGGAAATTTTGATAATATTTGCAAGTTTTTAGTTTTAAATTTTTAGGTTTAGGTTTAGAAAGGTTCTTTTGCATTATCGGGGGGGGGGGATAATTCCAGAAATGTATAACGATTCAATAGGGAATGTTTTGATATTGTGTTTAGTGCCATTTAACTATGTTTAAATGGAATAATCATCAGAACACTTCGAACTTTTTTCGTTAAAATTTTGGGTGTGGTGTTTCTTTCATTTTTGAATCAAAATTTGTAACGTTTCTACGTTTAGGAATGGTGAAAACGGTATAGCAATACTGCCTTGATTTCTATTCGAAAAATTGGGCCTTTTTCAAAGTTAGCCACCCCCGTTAATGCAAAAGAACCGTTTTTAAACTTTGGAAAAGGTCGAAAAAGAAAAATGCCATTTTTATCTGACGGCCTGTTAGGCCTTACCCCGGGCCCGCGCCTATCTCTCCCCTTCCCCACCCCTCCCACAGTGCTTCTGTGGCGCAATCGGCAGCGCGTTCGGCTGTTAACCGAAAGGTCGGTGGTTCGAACCCACCCAGGAGCGTATCTTTTTGCTTTTTCCGGGAAAGATGGCCGATGCGCTCTAGGTTAGGATCCGATGGTTCCCTTCAATTTCAGATCGACTTTTTCAACAAGTTCCCCGACTTCCGCGGACGAGACTTTTACATCAGCGGTATGGGGTTTATAGCAATTTTTAAAAATAATAAAAATTAGGCGAGTCGTACGCCGGCGTGTATTTGCCGATGCTGGGCGCAAAGATCGTCAACGACACGGTCAATTTTCCCAATTTCAAGGTAACCGAAGTCGAATTTTTTTGTGAAAATTGGTTCAGGGAATGGCCATCGGCAATGGGGCCCTGAACTGGCCGAATAATTACGATACGATGGTTCCGCTGTACTACTATCACGCGCTGGTGCGCCAGGAGTTAGTTTTAGTATTTTTTGTTTTACTGTTTCATCTATCGAGTTTTGGCGCCATGTGAAAGCGCATGGCCGATGTAGCCGAACCACATACTTTTGATAGTTTTAGCCCCCAAAAATGTAGTTTTCAAGCTTTTTTTCAGGGAGATTTTAACGAGATTTTTAAGGATATATCTTTCGGCTCTTTTTCTAATGCGTTCTCCCCTTTAAGGCCGCTTAAAATAGCTTCTTGCAGCCTTTGGGACACGATCTCGGTGAAATGCTGCAACCAGTCGATGCTCGACTGCAACGTCTTCGGCCTGTTCGGCAGCAATCCGGAGTGCAAGCAGCTGCTCATCGAGGTCAGTCAGGTCCTAGTAAAATGGGCCGGAAAGGGATTTGGCGATGGGCAGACCAGCCGAGATTCTTCCGGCGAATGTGAGCGGATTTCCGATTCAAAATCCGACTCAAATCAGCATAATTTTTGCAGTTGTTGGACGGGACGGACCCGCTGGACCCATACAACCTCTACAACACTTGCTATCTGGACGGATCGATGCAGGGCAAAAAAGCCCATATCCACCGGATGTTCCGCAAAATGGCCGGACTAGCGCCGGCAAAACCGAAGACGAGTAGAGCCTACGTGAGTGTTCAAACATGAAATGAATCAATTTGAAAATATTTTTTGTCGCCTACGTACGAAAAACGCGAAAAAGAATTGATGAAATGGCAGTTTATAGCCTAAGATATTGCCTTAAACTATCGCTTTTTAGGTGCCACAATGCGCACAAGTCAACAACACCCAGATCTACCTGGCTCGCCGAGATGTTCGACAGGCTTTGCATATACCGGGGCTGTTGCCGGATTGGGAGGAGTGCAGGTAAAATTGGGAATGAGAGAAATAGAGCTTCTCAAATAGTCTGCTAGCAACCTTGATTTTTTTGATTTTGGGCTACTGCACTGGCGAAATTTTTCCGTAAATTGTCTTTTCTAGGGAAGCTATGGAAATTGTCGTTCGCTTTCACTCGCTGGTTCGCACTCTCTCACGCTCGTTGTCCCTCTCACTCGCTCTCTCGCTCATTCTCGCTCTCCCTCTCGCGCTCTTTATCACTATCTCCTGCTCATTTTCACTCTTTATCACGCTTTATCTCACTTTCTCGAGCTCATTCTCTATCTCGCCTCTCTCTCCCTCTCTCTCTCTAAAGTGCTCTCTCCCCCCCCCTCTCTCTCGCTCATTCTCTCTCTCTCGCTCTATCTCTCGCTCCCTCGCCCCATCTCTCCATTTTCAGCGATCCAGTCTCCCGTGAATACAGCGTCACCCACTTCGACATGACCCCCGAATTCACGCAAGTCAATAAGGTGCCCCAAGCACCAAATGACCTCTAAACGAGCATTTTTCTCCAGGCGGCCCGTATTTTGGTGTATAACGGAGACGTGGACACCGTCTGCAACCACATGATGAACCAGAATTTCTTGACAAAACTCGGCCGGAAGACTGTGGTAAATTTTGGTCCCAAAATGTCTAAAATTTGTTTATGGCATTGTAATGATATTTTATAAGTATTATTTCAATTTTTATAGCTTTCAATTACTGTAATTTTGTGAAAAAACCGAATTAGTCGAATTAATAGAATCAAAATTCTTTTGAAAATTGGTAAAAACAGTGAATTGGTGACATTTTAAAGCAACGACTTAAATAATTTGTTCTAAGATTCCATTGCACAATTTAAAAGACAAATATATGATATAAAATCCATAATATAATAAAATATACAAAATACCGTTTCAGGGCCCCCAAATCGTGAATAAACCGTGGTTCTACGCCCTCGAAACCCCAAATGTCGCCGGTTTCGTCACCCAATACGAAGGAAGTACGAGATTAGCCAATTTTTTTGATAATTTTAGTATGATTTTTATATTGTTTTAAACGCAAAAAGCAATTTCCAGACATTGACTACGTGACGATCCGTGGTTCCGGTCATTTCGTACCGCAGGACAAGCCGCGCGAGGCCTTCCAAATGATGTACAACTGGATCAACGGCCTCGACTACAGTACCCCGGTGCCCAGATTGTTGTGAATAAATTTGTTTGATTTTTAAAGGTCGTAAAAATTTATTCTTGTTTTAAAGGAGGTATGAAGGCATAAATGTTGCGCTGGGTGTAAATTTAGCGATATTTTTGTGATTTTCAGTTTTTCCGAGTTTTTACCCTAAATTAGTTTTTTTAAATAACGTAAGTCGCGTGTTTCCGGGTGTTTTGCACCAACAAGCAACAAGCACTGACCACGGACACGGCAATAATCCGGCACCCACCCAAAAATATGCTGTTTTTCGATGAGCACCCGGTGGAAACAACTCGCAAAAATCGCAGAAAAAGGCGATAAACGCAGAATATCACGACCACGGTGAAACATCTGTCTGCTTTTAGCTTGGGATTACGGTATTTTGACTACTGACCGACGTACCGTATGCGCTTTAATAAAAGCGATTTTTTGCATTGTGCGCTTTCAAGGGGAATCTCTCTTTCTCTCTCTCTCGCTCTCTCTCTTTCTCTCTCTCTCTCTCTCGCTCTCTCTCTCTCCCTCTCTCTTGCTCTGTCTCTGTCTCTCTCTCCTCCTTTGTCTCTATCTCTCGCTATCTCACTCACTCTCTCCCTCTCTCTCTCACTCCTTCTCCCTCTCTCTCTCTCTCTCTCTCTCTCTCTCTCTCTCTCTCTCTCTCTCTCTCTCTCTCTTACTCTTTTGTTCTCTCGCGTTTTAGTCAAATTTGTCCCACAGAATAGTCAAGTCAATCAAAAATGCCCGATTTTCAAGGTTTTTAATTTTTAGGATTTTCTTTTTTGCATTTAACAAAATTTGGGTCTGTGTGTTTGCTGTTTGCTGTTTGTTAACGATGTCTAGGTTTGTTTTTGTGTCTGTCTGTCTGTCTCTCACCCTCTCTCGCTCGCTCTCCCTCCCTTTTATGACTCAACCCATCCTCCATCCCGTTCCATTCTGGTCCCTCGATGGTCATCACCAATTGTTCAGCATCGGCTTCAGCGCAGAGGGGCAAGCCGATAAAATACGCCCCCAATACCATCCACCTCCCCCGATTTTACACATAAAGGTATTCGACCCCATCCGGCTGGCCGATCATTCAAGTTTTTTTGAGTTTTCGGACAGCGACACATACTACAGAGTTTTGCTTACGGGTTTTCTGGATATCTTTTTTCCATCTCTCTCTCTCTCTCTCTCTCTCTCTCTCTCTCTCTCGCTATTTCGCTTCTGTTAGAATTCCGATTTTAAAGGTTTAAAAGATCCTCAAATTTTGAGTCCAAGTTCCTCAAAATTTTTAAACAGATTTTTTAAGATTTTGGACATTTTTACGTTTCTTAGCGTGTTTTCATTTGCTATCACCCCGATCATAAAATACAGCAGATACCGTAACCCTTCATAGCGACTCGCCCTTGTCACAAAGTCCAAAAATCGGCAAAACAGCAAGGTTTCCGGCTTGAACATGTGCCCTAGACTGGAGTATATGCTGTATTTGTCACCATTTTGTATATGGAAGAGAGAGAGCGAGAGAAAGAGAGAGAGAGAGACAGAGAGAGAGGGAGAGAGAGAGAGAGACAGAGAGAGAGAGAGAGAGAGAGTGGGAGAGCGAAAGAGAGAGAGATAGATGGATTCAAACAAAAACAAAAACTGCCAAGTACAGTTTCAGAACCTTGCAAAATTTCCGGCCCTCGATCTGCGAAGTTTGTGCAAAAATTTTCCAGCCAATAACACCCTTTTTCTATATGAATAGCGTCAATAGGAAGGGAGTGTAGGCGTTTCGCAAAGAGCACGAAAGTTACGGTAAAAAGGTGAAAAAGGAGTGTCCACCCGACGTCCACAGTATTATCCCGGAATCGCGGAATTTCCCTTTTCTATTTGCTGCCCCTGCCCGTTCCATATTTGGGGGTAAAGTTCACGCTAAAGGGGGGAAACGGTCTCGGACTGACCGTAGGCTACCGTAACCCGTCGGGTTGAGGACTTTTGATCTGAGTAATGGAGCGGAAAGGAGAAGAGAGGGTCGATTGCTGAAAAAATAGAGATGGGAGAGACAGAGGGTGAGAGCGACAGAGAGAGAGAGAGAGAGAGAGAGAGAGAGAGAGAGAGAGAGAGAAGGAGCGCGAGACAGCAAAGTGAGAGTTCTGAGTGAGACAGCGAGAGAGACAGAGAGAGTGAACGAGAGAGAGAGAGAGAGAGAGAGAGAGAGAGAGATCCCTATACAGTGACTGTACCTTTTTGGGAGTCCATCCAAAGACCAACGGTTACCCCCAGAACAAATAGGCCCAAAATGTATAAATATGGGCTCGAAAAAGGGTACAATATAGCCTGCAACCCGCACATTTGCAGATTGCAAATTGTTTAAATGTTTTTCGGAAAATTAACTATATTTCAAGTGGGAAAAACTATCTAAAACCCTTGAAAATTTTGCAATTTTGTTCGAAAATCGCAAAATCGCAAAACAAATTTTGCATTTTTCATCGGTTGGTAAAGTTTACCTCATACCAATAAATTTTACCCCCCCGATAAGGCGAAAGTACCAGCAGAAATTGTCTACATTTTTGTAACCCAATACGTTTGCCTTAATACACAACAAAGGTATGGTAACAATGATATTTTAAGTGATAAAATAATCTCGGTTTTCAATTTTCAGAGCCCTCAATATGGTTCGAAAATATTTGCATCAGGCTCACTTTCCCTTTTCGAAAGGCAACGTCATCCCTTCTAGGGTGTTCTTGTGCTTTTTGAGCTTTTCGAGGTGTGGCTATTGTCATTTCTTGATTGGGGGAAAGGGGCCACTGATCCCCTCCCCCATCAGAATGCTGAACACTTCTGACGAAACCGCTGCTCCCCCCATTGGCGGCGATTGCTATCAGAATTCGAGGCAGGCGGAGACTCAGACCTTTTAAGGGAACCCCCTCGACTCAGTGGCCACAGTTCAGCTCTGTGCTAATCTGTCGCTATCTCTCACTCTCTCTCTCTCTCTCTCTCTCTCTCTCTCCCTTCTCTCTCTCTCTCCGGCTATCGTAATCCCCAGCTAATTCTATTATTCCAATTTTTCGTTTTTTTTGCGGCTTTCTTGCGGCGAATAAAGAACGCGTGATTTCCGTTTTGTGCTGATATTCGAATTTTTGAAAATTTCCAGATAGATCTCTCGCTTTTTCTCTCCCTCTATCTCTCACCCTCTCTCTCGCTCTCACTCTTTCTGTCTGTCTGTCTCTCTAGCTCGCTCCCTCTCTATCACTCTCTCATTCTGTGTCTCTCTCTCAATCGCTCTCGAGCTCTCGCGCTATCACGCTCTCTCTCTCTCGCTCTCTCTACCAGACTACTGGAAAATCTTCATGAATTTTTTAATTTTTTTTCCTCAAGAATTCCCGTTAGCTACCTCCCTAGAACTAAAACTCTTCCCAAAAAACCTCTGCTAGCCTGCCCTCCCTTGCAGCTCTGCAAAGTTTAAAATGACGCCATTTTGACCGTAGCTTCCATGCAGTATTTGCAGAAAAGCCGAGAGTTCAGTTTGCTTTTTAGCAGTGTTTAACAACGAGAACACCTGACGCGTTTTGAAAACGGTTTTTTTAGGGATTTGAAGCAGCGCAAGGAATGAGGTAGTAAAACAGAAATGACGAGGGGTGGGAAAAGCTGGGGAACATCTGGGTGCAGGTTTTGGGGCTGATTTTTTGAACGGGGATACCTTAAGGTTTGATAAATACAATTTTTTCGGTTGGATAAAGCGATAGATAAACTGAGCGAGAAAGAGAAAGAGAGAGAGAGAGAGAGAGAGAGAGAGAGAGAGAGAGAGAGAGTGAGTGAGTGAGGGGAGCGAGTGAGATAGCGTGGGTGAGGGGGAGGGAGGGAGAGAGAGAGAGAGAAAGGCAGTTCTTGAGCATCTTTAGCTAGCAAAGATTAATGGAGAGATTTTCGAAAGCTTAGCCAGCTGATAAATGGCATACTAGCAGAGGTTCTTTAGGAAATTTCCCGGCTCTAGCCAAGCTTTTTTCAAGAGGCTTTTCCTGGACCAAAATAGACGCAAAAACTAGCGTCAATAGGTGTAGGTGTAGCTAGATTGCGGGGTTGACCCTCCCCCCCCCCCCACATCGACTACGTAACACACCTATTTCCGGGGTGGGTTCTTTTCCGGAACTGTACTCCCTATTCGATCTGTTTGACCGGGGTGTCTGCCCCCACGTAGCTGATATTTGCCCGCAGTCCGACGGTGATCTTCATTTTCTTGCTTTCTTTCGCTCTCTCTCCCTTCTCTCTCTCTCTCCCTCTCTTCCGGTAAACCGTATAAAACCCATCCCCCTGGCTCGGGAATACGGTCATTTCAGCAGAAAATTACCTGCAAAACTTGAATCCTACCTTATATAATTTTGGAGTGTATTGTGTGTGTGTGTGTGTGTGGATGTCACTTTCGAGGCCCGATTTGAGGGCCTTCCCGTGTCCAAAACGCCTCAATTCTCCGTCACCCGGGGGAATCGACCCTTCTGTTTCCGATGACGTTCTCAGAATTTCGATAAAATACAAGTTTACAAAGTTAAAGGCGGTTTTATTCATTTTTGGGGGTACCTGAAGGCTAATTTGCATAATGCGAAAAAATACAAACTTCCTCATTCTTGCCAGTTGCACTCGCGCGTGTGGCCGGAGGAAGGGAAGGGTCCGCAGGACCCGAGCTATCGGAAAGTCAAACTTTTCATGCAAAGGCCGCATTCCAGCGCCCAAGGCCCGCGAAGCGGGTTTTGGGCGCTGGTTTTTTTGATTATTTGATTCCTACCGTACCCTTCCATTTTACTGTAGTCAAACTACGGTTTTTCAGAATGACAATAATCACAAAGGGCTCGATCCGAAGAGAGGAGTGCGACGGAAAAGTGGCAGGGATCAGGTACGGTAGAATTGGGGGTTACGGGAGCCTGGTCTAAGTTTGTTAAAGGGGCGTACAAGGATAAGGATACGATCTATATTGTAATTTTTGAAAATTTTTATTATTTCCGTTACAGTACGACACCATACACGGGACGTTCCGTGAAAGAGGCGAACGACTATGTTCGCTGGTATATTCTCTTCACGCTCCTCATCTTCATCTCATTTTCTTCGATATTTTGGATACCGGCAATTCCGGTTATTCGGGTAGGTGAACAAAAATGTTTAAAATTTGGCGTTACACAACGAAATTAAATTTTTCTAAGCTAGAATTCCTGCTTAATTTTGCCACACTTTCTTTTCCTCTTTTTTATTTTCTAAAGTACTTACTTGTTTGAATTTCCAAGTTTCTAAAATTCGAAATTTTGATGGTTTATCCTTTATCGTGCTCAAAAAATTTAATAAATTAAATGACCCAGTTAAATAATTAAACCATTGATTGTAGAACTACTCTATGGAGATTTTCCTCTTCTTCTGCGCCCTCCTTCACCTCGCCTGGTTCTCGGCAGTGATCAACTCCTGTCGATATACCTGGAGAATGCGGCGATTCAGATCTCATAAAATTGATTTGAAACCGGTGAGTATACCGGAATTTACAGGTCGTAATCGATTAGAGACATTAATTACTAGCCGTAATTCCCCTATTTTAGACGACCGAATCGAAAGAATGGACGATAAAGCATTTTGTCGGGATTTGCATCTACAAAGAACCGCTTCAACTTCTGATCGACACCATCGAGAGGTAGCCCCTATTCTGTGACCAAAATACCGTACGTCGTTTTGCAGTGTGGCCTCCCAAAATGACGCTGTGGGCAAGATTTCGATGTTTATCGGGATGGAGGAGGGGACACCTGATAGGGAACAGGTACGGCAGATCTCTCTCTCTCTATATCCCTCTCCCTCTCGCTCTCTCTCGCTATCTCTCTCCCTCGCTCTCTCGCCCTGCTTTACTCTCTTCGGCTAGATATATCTCGCTCTCTCTCGCGGGCTGGAGCTCTCGGTCTCTGAATCTCACTCTCTCGCTCTCGCGCTCTGTCTCTCGCGCGCTCTCGCTCTCTCGCAGCCTCTCCCTCTCACTACCTTTCACTCTCCCTCGCTCCCCTCTCCCGCTCTCGCTCTCTTTCTCTCTCTCTCACTCATCCATTTCTCACTCTCTCCCTCTTCGCTCTCTCTCTCTCACTCTCTCCCTCTCGCGCTCTCTCTCTCTCTCTCTCTCTCTCTCTCTCTCTCTCTCTCTCCCTGCCCCTCTCCAACTCTCTCCCATTCAAGAAAACAGCGTCCCTCCACTCCCTCTTCGACCATCGTTTCGAGCGTTTCCTCGTCGTCTCCCACCCCAAAAACCTACCCGGCGATATCCCCGGCAAATGCTCCAACCTCAATTTTGCCGCCCGAACTGCTTGCGCCTACTTCTGCCAGGCCATGGTATTTCTTTTTTCACCGAACCATTTTACCCTCCTTTTAGCGCGAAAACACGAATAAAGTGACGATGGCGAGGACCCAAATCTTGGTCACCACCGGAGACTGTGATTCCGTATTTGGCCAACGATATTTCGACGCGTTAGAGGAGGACTTTTGGAAGACGAAACAGGAGGTAGAATTTGAAAATGAGTCTGAGATTTCCTGTTTTGTCAAAAATAATAAAGCTCATTTCAGGACCGCAGTCGCACAGTCTGGCAAAGCCCCCTCTTCTACGCGATGCGCCTCGAGAAATCGCCATTTTTTGTCAGAGTCACTGGCCTGATGCGCTCATTTTTCATGATGGGGTTAGTTGAAAAATTCTATAATTATGCCGGCTCTTGCTAAAATTTTAATACTTTTTGTTTTTGGAATTTATTAGACCAGAGAAAATTGCGTAGCATCACTTCTCCCAGGTGAAAATCCAGCCGCGTCAAGCGTTAAAATTTTGTGGTATTGCCGTAGGACTGCGTAGCATATCGTAGCCCAGATCCCCGAACGTCGCGTATCCCCTGTCAAAATTCTGGATCGTTGCGTAGCCGGCCTTAAAATTCCGTAGCGGCACGTAGCCTAGCATCACATTCGTAACGCCTCGTAGCCGACCGTAAAAATGGCGTAGCGTCACGTAGACAAGCGTCGAAATTCCGGAGTGCCAAGTAGTCGACTGCACTCCGTAGGGACCCATATCCTAGCGTAAGGATTCCGAAGCGTCTCGTAGCCTGGCGTAAAAATCCCGTAGCATCACGTAGCCCAGCTTTATGCTCGCGTGGCCGATCGTAAAAATTGCGTAGCGACAGGTAGCGTGAAATTCCGTAGCGTCTCGTAGCCCAGCATAAAAAATTCGTGGCGTATCGTATCCGTAAAAATCCCTTTAACCGTCCTATTCAGCTTCCTGATCCCGTGGAACATCAACACAATGTCAATCTTCTCATTGACACTTGAATTATATCGTGACGGAGAATTCACCCATCCCGGATATCAAATGGAAGATATTATTGCGTTGATCAGATGGTCATTGGCTGTCAGGAAGCGGTGCATCATCAGGGCTATCCCCGTTGCCACGCTCTCTGGACCCACTTCCGGTTCGTGTCTATCGATTACTGTCGTTTAAAGGGGTGGCACACACACAAAGAGATCAAAAAATTGGCAATTTGCGAAAAAACCAAAAAAAATTGAGCTGTTAGAAAAATAAATTTGACCAATAATTTTTTGAAAATTTAAATTTTTTTAAATCTAGTGCTTTTTAATCTATTTTAATGCAAATTAAGCCTATGTTATTGCAGGCGACAACTACTACCACGAATGGTTCGAGTGGGCCCGCCAGATCCGTAGATGGACAATCGGAGCCGCGGAAGTATTCCACTATTTCGCCATCAAAAGTCGACGACTCCCTGTCCACGTCGCGCTCATCTTCTCGGCCGTGTTCATCTTCTACTACGGATTTATGCTGTGCATTTCGCCCCTTTATTCCATTCTCGGAGCCACTATTGTGAGTTTTTCCTTAAAACCTGAGTTTTTAAAAAACACCAAAATTCTTTTAGTTGGAAAAATATAAAATATGTTGCCTTCGATAGACCTTTAAAATCGTAGAATCAACCGTATATTCGTTATTAAACTATAGAAATTGCAAAAAAATTGCCAATTTTAACTTGAATGCCCTTGCAAACATTTTTTCGAGCTGATTCTGCTGTAGATTTTTGCCTTCAACGGCCCTGTAAACCTACAGTAACCCGTAACCCGCCAGGGAGTTCATTTCGGGACCGAAAACTGGGTGTATTTGCCACCTTGACTTGCCTTTTTCTGCCCAAAAAATTCCTTTTCACGCCCCCGCGCACCCAGCTACCGTATCCCCACAAAGAAATGAACGTGCATAGGAGTGACGCGTAGTGTTTGCCCTGATTTTGAGTGTGGGGGAACGGGGAAATGGAGAAGACGACCTTTGAGAGTAGCAAACGCAAAAATACGCTTTGGGGCTGAAAAGAGCTAGAAAATGGGATTTAAATCGAATACCGTATTCTACCAAATTTTAAACTGCAAGATTTTGCTGAAAAAAATTAAGATATTCTAGAATTCTCGAAAAAATCGATTCTTAGGATGAATTCAACTTATAAAACTGAAAAATTCTACAAGAAACCAATTTTTAAGTCCACCTTACTTCATTTTAACCAATTAAACTTTCCTGTTTCAGACCCCAAAAATGATGCACGTCTTCGGGGCGAAGAGCCCCCTTTTCGAGGGCAACAACATTTTCACGTGGATCAACCTGGGCCTGCTCGGGCTACAGTACTTCTGGTTCCTCGTCGTCTTCCTCATTAATGCGTTGTGTGAAGCGGTAAGTTTTAAAATTCATGCAAGAACGTAAAAGGTTCTAAAAATACCTTGATAACCCGTAAAATCCGGCGGACATTGAGCCCATACCGGTTTTTTACGAATCTTCCCGATCAGCTCCAATCGACAATCCGATTAATTTCGTCTAGGCACAAAATATCAGAAGATCAGGGTGTCTTTTCGTCCGGGAAACCCCGCTTTTCAAAGCGCTCAAAAAAGTGTTTGTTTGCTGATCGGGGCGACCAGCATTTCGGGGGGTATCGGCTGTTCTCTATTTACAAACTCGTGCGGTACAGGATTTTTACGTGAATTTCCGGGAATAAAACATTTTTAAAAATACAAGCGTTAATAGAAGTACATAGTTTTCTACCTCAAAAAGTGTGGGGGACCATTAAAGGCGTTAGAAAATCTCAAAAATTATGGGATTTACCTATCGTAATCGGATAACTTCAATTAAAAATAAATTTAAAGACAATTAAAATTAGAGCTCTTTGAGGGCCTAACACTGATCGAAAAATCATTAAATTCCATTTTCCAGGTACTCCCACCGTACTCTGGGCGCACCAAAATCGGCTTCTTCCGCAGCTTTTTCCACTGGATTATGTGTGTTCCGACAATCGTCATGTATTGTCTTGTGGAACTGGAAGCTTTCTTAGAGGTTTGTTCTATTTTTCTCTAGCTTTCTCTCTCTCACTCGCTCCCTCTCTGTCTCTCTCACTGGCTCTCTCGCTCGCTCTCTCGCTCTCTCTCTATCGTTCTTTCGCTTTCTCGCTTTCTCTCGCTCGCTCTCTCGCTCTCTCTCCCTCTATCTCTCTCTCTCTCTCTCTCTCTCGCTCTTCCAACTACGCGACAATACCCCATAACACCCAATTTTCCAGGTGTCAATCCGTGGAAAAGCCGTCTGCTCTCACAGCGCCTCGAAAAAAGACAACCTCGTCGTCCCCCCTCCGACCGCACCGCAGCCGCTACACGTCGAAACGCTCCACGAAATCTAGAAAATCTTGTAGCCGAAAAATCTGTACTTTGTAGGGTAGTTTCCATGCTAAAAACCACTTCACAATCTCTTTACGGTCACTTTAGCCGGTTTTTCATTTACTTCATCCCTTACGTTTGTCATTTTCCGATCTCACCCCCTGAAATTATGTATTTTTTCGCATTTTTTTGTGCGGCATTTGTCTCATCTACCGGTTCTATATATCTTCGGGTTTCAATAACATTAGAAATTCAATTTTTAACTCGTTAAAATTGGAATTTCCATAGGCATACTGTAATTTTCGCTCCATTATGTCATGTAATTTTTTGTGCTTTGTAGTTGCCAGATTTTCAAATGCATAAATGTTTCTATGAATTTAAATCGCAAAAAGCGGAAAACATTGTAATTGCAAAGCCTAATATAATTTTCTAATTAAAAGAGGCTTTTTAGAAAATCAAAACGTATTAAAAAAACCTTTAAACAATTTATATTTAATTAGCCATACGGTACTTTCCGCTTCATTACGCCATGTAATCTGTTGCATTGTGTAGTCAGGGTTTTTCTTGGCGGAAAACTTAGTTTTTACCGAAAATTCAAACCGTACGTCGTCAAAACTCGAGAATTGCTGTGAGTTACGTTACTTTACGCTATGTAATGTGTTGTATTGTGTAGTCTCCTTTTTTCACTTGATAAACCTTTATTCTATCGCAAAAAAAACACAGGGAAAACCAATCGCAGAACGGGGGTGGTGCCTCTAAGACTCACAAAAACACGCAAAAAAGACAAAACCAAGATGGTTAAAAATAAAAAATTGAAGGCGAGAGATCAGCAAAAATGGAGAGAGTCCAGAGAACGAGAGATGATTTTTAGGGTTTTTGTATAACTTTATTAAAGTCTTAAAAATTGGTTAAAAAATCGGGGGGAAACACCCGTTTGGGAAGGGAAATATTTTGGGGGTTTTTCGAGATTTCTCTAGGGATACGGTAGGTATTGAAGGGGCAGGAAAGGTTGCGGAGAATCCGGTGTATCTTGTAGTCTATCGTAGTCTTTGGTAGCAATGAATTTTTTAGTTAAAATCGAAATTTGAGGCGTCGCTTGTCGGGCACGGGTTGGATGGGACGAGCCTAAAAAACTTGAATTTAATATAGTTTTATGGAATTTGAATTTTTAGGGTATCTTACTTCAAATACTACTCAAATCTATATATTTTTAGCTTTTTAAAGTTTTTATATTTTGCTTAAGCGCCTTAACCCTAATCGATAACTTTTATTAAAAGAATAAATTCGTGAATTTTCACTTTGTTACTGTTTTCTTAATTTCAATGCTAAAAATTAAAAAGAAAAGGAAAAACTTTAGAATTTACTAAAAAAACCTTGCAGGTTATCGAATAATTTCATTCCTATAAAAACGTAAAAAAATTATAAGTGACGAGCGAGTAATATTAACTCATTTTTCTTCTATTTTAAGGCATTTTTAGCTTCTTTTCTATACCGAGACCTTCCTCAAAAAAACTACCGTACCTGGAAGAAGCCGGAAAATGATCCATAGACGAGATGCAGCCCTCGGATGGATTCCATACATGTACATTTGCCAGTTCTCGTATCCTCTTCCTCATCTCCTTCTTCTTCTTCTTGTTCTCCTCCCTCTTCTACACTCGCATCCGGATTGTCCGGTTTCCACGAGTATACTGTAGCCCCGGATTGTCGCTGGCAATATGGCTGGCATTCACGGCCCAGGCCCGAATTTGTGGCGACGATTGGACCCGAGATTTCGTGATCCAAGAAACGGTCTCGGGATTCGTCTTCTGAAATCAGGGAAACTGTACATTCCGCTGCGCTACTCTTTACAGGGGCCGCAGACTAGCAAGGAACATTTCGGAATTAGATTTTGCATTTTTAAGTATTTTTTCTGTAAATATTACCGTAAATTCCGTGAGGCTACTCTTTACAGGCTAGCAAAGGCCATTTGGGAATTGAGACAGATTTTTAAACAAAATTTTGTGCTTTTACGTGCTAAACGACCGAATTATATTTTTCTAGAAGGTCAGCTAGCAGAGATCCTTTGGGATTTCTAATTCAAAAAAGTGCGGCAGGCTAGCAGAGATCATTTCGGAAAGGCATAAAATCACGTTTTTACCGCTGTTTTTAATCTAATTTCTGTAAAAAAACGCTAGGGCAGGCTAGCAAAGACCATTTAGGACTCGGATTTTTAGCATCTAGCGCAAGCTAGCAACGCCCTTTTAAGGATTCTGGATTTTCCCTTGTTTACCAGCAATTTCCATGCTAACCCCCACCCCCGCTTCCCCCTATTTGATGCCCTTTTTCGGGTCCCGCCACGAAAAAACGGGCCCTGAGTGAAATGACCGAAATGGGGTGGAATTCGCGGGGGTCGGGGGGGGAGGAGAAGCTTCCGCTTCCGCTACGGCTATGATATCATCAGAAAAAAATGCGGATTTGGGTTCATGAAAATATTGGAAAGAGGATCGTATTGGAAAACACACTTATGCTACCATCGGCCTTATTTTTGCCGTAATTTGTCGCAATTAAAAATAATGGCACTTAAAAATGAGCAAATACACTAGAAGACGATATGATACGTCACAGTACGTTAGAGTACGCTACCGTACCCTTGTGTGCGCTTCAGCACGTTGTGGTTGGCTTTGCTTTATAGATAGTGGCGGTCTTTTACTACGTTCAAACCCTGCTGAACGATGGATGCGATACAGTACGCTAACGTACGCCAGGATGCGATACAGTACGCTAAGTTACGCTACAGTACGCTACCGCAACGATTCGGGGGTTTCTTCGTAAAGTTTAAATAATTTCGTAGTGGCCTTTTCCGATCCAATCCAAAATACAACCCCGCGTCCAGTGGAACATTTCGGAATCTTCCCCCAATTGCCGTAAATAGAAGCTTCGTGTAGTTGCCAAATTTGGCCCCAAGAGGGAGACCGAAAAAAGCGCGAATTTTCCTAAAATACACCCATTTTCGGGCGGAGGGGAAGGGTACGGTAGCTCTTTTTGCATATTTTTCTGCCTCCTCCCCACCCCCACAAGATCTGGGTCGCCATTTAGCATCTTTACGCGGGCCAATTTCCGGACCCACGCCAGAGCTAGACACAAAAATATGGAATCGGGTGGATCTTTGGTGAACTGGGTTTGTGGCCCACGAATTTCCTAACCCGGTCAGGTCAGATGGGAGGGAGCACAAAATAGGCAAAAAGGGGCTACAGTAACCCAACGCGGACAGAAAAAGGAGTGTATTTTAGGCGAATGCGCATATAGACTGTTGCTGTAGCGTTCTGTAGCCTACGTCAGTGTATTGCCGCGTATTGTCCCCATGTTTAGTGTACTGTCGAGTACTGTAGAGTACCGTAGCGTACTGTAGCGTAACACGCCCTATATTGGAAGTTGGTCCCTTTTTGGGCCCCTTGAAAGAACGCACGTCTCGGATGGGCTGACATCAAAAACGGCTGCCGCGGGCCCGTTCTCGGGGAGTACAAGCTCGTTAGCTGCTCTGACCCGTAGTTCGGAACCCAGAAGGAAAGGCTAAAGAGGGCCGCGCGACCCACATCACTCTCTTCCGGTGTTTGCGAGGGTGGGTGCAGACAGGGAGAGAGAGAGCGAATGAGAGAGACAGCAATAGAGAGAGGGAGAGATAGAGCGATGTCCTATCCATAGTTTAGCCTTGCCCAAGAAATGGTGCATTACAAAGTGCGAACGGCACGTCATTCCCCGGGAATTCCAAAATTCTGGCCGTTCGTTTTCCGCTTTTTACACTTGACAAAGTGCGCCCAGCCTTTGACGCCATTCGGAATTTTTCATAGAATTTTTTTTGGATTGGTTCACCTCAGTCCACGCAGCCAGAAAAATTTAGCGATTTTTTGGTATTGGCAATATCTAAAAAATTTTACTTTCCAGTCTATTTAACACTAAAAATATGGTAAGAGAACATGATTTAAGCTATGGTTACGGTATCGCCATGCCGAAATTAGATATCGTAATGCCATTATCGAGTTTCCATAGGTAATTTTTGGCTTCTCAATCCCTTTAAAACGACCCCAAAAACTGTAATTTTCGATTCCGGCTTTTTGGGTGCTTTTCGAGGCTTTTCCCCCAGGTTGCCTACCCATTTTTGAGGATCAAAAATCTGCGTTTCCCTTCCTGGTCCCCGTATTTTTTTAGGATTTTGGGTTTTTAGGGGCCTTGTGTTTGGAGGTGTCTAACGGAAATGTCGACAGATCGGTCGGTAGGGGGAAAGAGAGAGACAGAGAGGGAGAGAGAGAGAGAGAGAGAGAGAGAGAGAGAGAGAGAGAGAGAGAGACAAACCACCACATCGGCACCCATAGGAAGTTTGCTTCAAAACCCCTCCTTCCCCTCCTTGGAATTGACGTCAACTGGAGAAGGCGTGTGGCCACTGCCAACACTTCACTTCACTGCCCCCTCCCACGCAATATATAGCCTTAATTTGGGGCGAGCAAGAGCTGGTGCTCCTCTAGAAGAGGGACTTCTTTTCGAGAGACTTGCACACCTGTCAAATGCAAAATTTGGGGAGGAACCGCTTACGCAACTGGCTGCAACGTCTTCTGGGTAAAACAAATATTTTTACTGGGGTCTAGACGCTCGCTACGAAACTTTCCAATTGACATCCAGGGGGGTGGAGCGGAACTCTGATCCGGAACATTCCAAAATACGGGGGCTAGAGTTCGAGGTTATCTAGTAAAATCGGGACATTTTGGCACATGCCAGAACGGCTACAGTACGCGGCCAGATCTCAAAATACAGAATTTCCGTAATGCAACAAAATACGGCAGCATATTCTGTACAAAAATCGATGAAAGGCACTATGAAGTGACAAATCCATAGCCAGATTTTGGCTTGCCAGCCCCTTAAAAAATTTATATGGATTTCGGCGAGACTTGGGCTGCGGGATATTCGCTTCTAAGCTCCTTTAAAAAAAGCCATGACAGCCCAATTTAAACGTATTTACATGCTAATTTTTACATTATTCGTCTTTTTCGTTCCTCGCCCCTACCCCCCGAAAAAAATGACGATGCCACCGATGATCAAAAATTCCCAATTTCACCACCACCCTCAAGCCGACTCGCCGATGCCGCGTAATTAGTTGTGGGTCGTCCTCGAGGGTGTCGACGATTTTGACATGTGTGCGTAAAGAGGAACAACCCGGAATCGCCGGCGAATTATTTTGGGCCCGGAACCCCTGGGCGCTAAAATGGGGCCCACAACCTGTCATCGGCAGCTTCCTCTTTTCCGGAAGTTCATCAGAATAGATGGGGAGACAGACAGACAAACATGATGAATCAGACAAACCGAGTGGCTGTCAGGCTGTCAAAATTTGACCTTTATGGGGGGAAATGACAAGGTGGTGATGGGTTGTCAAAAGGGCAACTAAAAATGATTTTTTGTGTTTTTTTACCGCGCCGCGCGCCGAAACGCGCACATACGAAGTTGGATGGTGGGATGTTGTCAAAATCGTTTACATTGCGCTTGCGTAGCGTGTCGCGTCGCGTTGCGAAAGATCCAGAAAAATGTCCACCTTCTTTTTTTAAGAAAAGGAAGGAGGAAGGAAGGAACCCAAATACCTGGATACTGCCTAAATCCTTCGCCTTCCACAGTCCTTTGCAAATTAACAAGTCTTTTTTTATTCTACCCATCAAAAAATACTATACATCCGCCACCAGACTAACAACATTTCAAAAATCTACCCCTCTCTCTTTTTCCCGCTGGAATTTTTGGGCCTCCGCTTCCTGATTCGGGTGATGCCTATCAAATATTTGATGTGGTGGGCAAGAGACACAGAGAGAGAGAGAGAAAGAGAGAGAGAGAGAGAGAGAGAGAGAAAGAGCCATGCCTGAAATATCCCCTCGAAATTTCGGGGAATTCTCTTTTTATGTACACCTCTAGACCAGCTGACTGGGGCGACGCGGAATTGCTAACTAGGGGAAAAGCACCCGGATGCGGCATATCATTGCGTGACACGGGTTGTTTAAAGGTTTCTTGCGGAATTTTTGAGTTTTTAAAGGGCAAGGAAACAATTTTTAGGGCAAAAAATAAACGCTAAAATCGCCCGTATTTTTGGGCGATCTGTAAAATTCAAAACTTCGAATTTTCCCGATTTTCCGATTTTACTTTTCCGCCGACATGAAGTATTTCATGCGCATTAACGTGACATTAGCCATTTTGGGGAGAAATCCATAGAAATAGCCCGCGGGGGGCTTTGGACACTTCCGGATTCGGGCGGCTATAAGGGCCACGAGGCACCCGATTTGCATCCGGAACTGCGGGGGAGAAACTGACGAAAGGTCAGCGAGAGGAAACGACAAAATGAGAAGTAGCTATTGAATTTGAATTCCGGGGGTGGTACGTGGGTCCTAAAGAATCTCTGCTAGTTACCGCGGTTTCCGAAAAAATTATCTGCTAGCATACCCTAGCTGCCGTCGCCAAATTATGCGGATTCTCCCTAAAAATTTCTGCCATCCTGCCCTGTGCGTCCTAAAAGATCTCTTCTAGCTTGCCCCAGCCAAGGCTATCTTGTTAAAAAAGCCTGCCTGTATACCCTGGATTCTTCAATAATTTCTGCTAGATTGCCTCGAGTTCGAGCCATTTTCCCAAATATTCTTTGCTAGCTTACCCCAAATAAAACCAATTCCCCAAAAATCCCTGCTAGCCTGCTCAAGCGTTCCTAAGGGCTTTCTGCCAGCTTGCCTTCGAGTTTGGCTTAAAAATCTCCGCTAGCCTGCTCCGGGTTTCCTCAAGAATCTCTGATAGCTTGTTGAAATCTCTGATAGTCCAGGCCATTTTCCTCAAAATTCGCTGTTAGCTTTCCGGTCGTAGTCTCCAAAAGTCACTGCCAGTCCCCCCTCTTCCCCCCGCCTACCCTTTCTTCCCCCCGAAACTATTTCTATTCTTATGTGAATGGTCCCTTCCATTTCCCCTTCCCCCTCAAAAAGGAGCACTTTTTAGGAAAGAGCCTCCCTCTAATGGATAGACACACAACCATATCTCTTTTTGTTTCGAGAGAAATTGCACGGTTGGCTAGCTGGCCATCCCTTCCCGATTCCAGCCCTCAAATTATTCCGCAAGTTTACTCATGACGTTCAGCTTCCCCCCCTACAGCCGTTGTGGCTTTTGGCCACTTTTCGACCCCCGCAACCCCGGGACCCCAAAAATCAGCGGTCTGGTTCTACGATTTGCCGCAGAATGATGCAGAATAGGGGAGGAGCAAGCGGCCTAAAAATCAAGATCGGAAATCGGGAGCAAAAGGGAGGATAAAAATAGAGAACCTTAGTGCAGAGGCAGGACGAAGAGCGAAAATTGAGCATGAGGCAACGAGCTCAGGAGCACGAGAAATGGTCGGATTGGCTTCCGGAATCTTGAACGGATCATGCTCCCGGAAAGGACTTCTAAGTATCGAGTTGTACGCTACCTCGCTACCGAAAGCGAGTTAGTTTGAGCTCGAGAAAAATTCGAAAAGCTCAGGAAGCTGGGATGCCGGATCAGGATTGGGTGGAGGAAGTTACTGATTTTTCCGGAACCGGAATCGAAATTTTTCGAGACGGTATGGGGTCAGGCTCCGGAGCAAGGAGTTAGGAGTCTAGGAGCAGGGAGTTTCCGCAAGGGGCTATTCGGAATCCGGTCAAAAAATTTTCCGGAGGGATTTCGAAGATCCGGAAGCGTTTTTCGGGAATTTGACGCAGAATGGTGGCTCACTTCTGTTCAAGGTGTATTTACAAAATTTATGGAAATTTTGGTTTTTGCTTTTCCTTTAAATCAGCTTTTACTCTCGAAAATTCACAAAATTGCAGTCTAGGGCATCCTCCTATCCTCCTACCGTACCCCCCCCCCATCCCGGTTCCCAAAAAAGCACCCCATTTCTTTGATTTCCGCCCAGACGTAGCGTCGCGTAGCCGTCTCCCTCAAATTCGGCATGTGTGTGGTGTGATGGGAATTTTTAGGACGCCCACAAAATTGGCCCAACAAGACCCAAAAAAAGGGGGGTGGGCAGGAATCGAGTCACTTCCGGGGGGACACGCCTTATTTGGCTAATTTCCGCATACGAGAGGCTACTATGGGAGAACGGACCAAGAGGAAGGGGGCACACCCAGAAGGGGATGTGTGCAAAATGGCAAATGGAATTTGTCTCGCCTGGGAACGGATAAATCTGGAGATACGACGGGTATTTTTGGCAAAATTTGTGGTTTAAAATACGCTCTACTTTATGGGGTACGGTAATGGCGGGTTCAGGTTTAAAGTATTGGCAATTTCGTCTCAGGTACGGTGAGACCTACTGCAAATTTGGTCTTTTAAAGCTCAAATTTTCATTTAGACAAATCCCAAAAAATATTTGACACGCCTGGGTTACGGTAGCGAAGTTATTACGGTATTTTAATGTTTGCAGAAACGGGAAAATTCGCTATTAAAAGTATGAAAAATCCCGAATTTCTCAAGAATTTATGTAACGTTTAGGTTAATAAAATGATTAGGGTATTTTAAAAAGCAAAATCCTCTCGTATTCTCAATTTTTCATGCAAAATAAAACTCGTTGAACCCACCATCGTCGATGCAGAAACCGGCCACCGTATTCTCTTTCCGGTGCATCTCGCCGGTCAGTGATCGGGCCTGGAAAAAAAACAATTTGAAAGCGATTTCTACCGTAGATCTCGAATTAAAGGAACCATGAAGTGGGAGAATCGACCGATTCCACCGATTAGATCTCGACAAGAACTTGACCAGCCAAACTAGGCAATTTTAGAAGAGCTAGAACGACGATTTCACGTCTATTTTAGCGCGTTACGTAGCTGTCGAAACCTAGCCGATGCTGCGGGGTCGATTTTTAGACTTTCCGATCCCTTTAAAGGACTAGCCAGGCTTTTCTATGTCTTTTGAAAGGCCCAGGCAACCCAACAAAACCGAACCCACCTTCAAATAGCATATGGAGTCCTCGTGATTCCACTCGAATGCTAAGCACGACGTGTCTGAACGGCACTCCAGGGCGCATCCCCTTAAACTGTAGCCTCATTAAAGGGATCTGGATGGAATGTAAGGGGTAGCCACACGAAATTTTACGTATTTTACGTCGAAACACACCGAAAATTACCTAGTTGATCGTCATTTTACGTTTTTTTTTTGGCAATAAAAGGGCAAGAAAATCAGTTGAAACCGCTGGAAACAAGCCGCAAATCGATATTTTGTAGTTTTCATGTGCAGCCAAATGGAATTGCAATTATTAAAACATTTCAAGATCATTTTCACGTGATTTTTCGACTAATTTAACTCCAAAAAAAATAGGAAAATAGCTCAAAATCAGCTCGCAGCAAGCCTCAAATCCAGAATGCTGTATACACGCGGAATTTCACAAAATTAAAGCCTTTTTGCCGTAATTTTACGATATTAGAGTATAAAAGAAAATACTTAAAATCAGCTAAAAACAAACCTCAAATCGGTATTCCGTATTCGCCTATATTCTGCCCCATCTATCGTCACGCCCTTTTCTGTGGTGAAACAGCGGGCTGCAAAAGTTCAGGGTTGCCGGCCCCTTTAAAGATGAAATTACCTCCACCCGCCCTTGCAGTCGATAGGAATGAGATGAAAAGGAGGAATTGGCAGAAACGATGGGATATGGAGGGGTAGAAGAGGAGGGAAGGCCGCGATTCTGATACGGGAGATACTGTCGGGAGACGATCGGAGGCCTGAAAATCCGGTTTTTCAAAGGGTTGATGCTAGTATGCCATTGGATAACAATTTTCCGCAAAGAAACACTGCTGGCCTGCCCCGTGCCGGTCGATTTTCCCAAAGGATAAGCGCTGGTTTGCCCTACTTAGCGTTTTTCCGCAAAGAAATCCTGCTAGCCTGCCACCCAAGACGATTTTATCAACGAAGCCTGCTAGCTCGCCATCACGACTTTCCGTAAAATAGACTCTGCTAGCTTCCTGTCGTGGTGTGTTTTCGCAAAGAAACTCTGCTAGTTGGCCATCCTAACCGTTTTTCCACAAGGAGACACCGCTAATCTTTCTTTCGTCAGATTTTCTCAAAGAAACTCTGCTAGCTTGTCCCAAGGTTCTTTGCTAGTTTGCCTAGGGATTTCCAAAAATGTCAACATTTTTTCAGCTGGCCGGCCAATCTATTCCCAAATGCTGGCTGCAAGCCGGTTCTCTATCCATTTCCCCAAGAATCCCGGCTAGCTCACCTCATCATCAATCTGTTGTTGTTGTTCATCTGTCGAGCAAGAGGGTCTGGGTTCCGAAATGCCCCTATCTTCTCCTCGCCTCGCCATTTCTTTCATTTCTCAAAAATGATGGCCGGTAGTTGGCTGCAAATCAGAAAATGCTGTTGGAAAAATACTCGAAATTTTAAATTCAAAAAAGGACAAATTCATGACGCCAAAAAATCATGAAAAAACTAAAAGGGGATACGGTATTCTCGAGGGAATTGGCTGGGAGACGTCCTTGATGAAATTAGAAAATTAACGGATTTTGTATTGGCCTTGGCAGGCAGAATCCAGTATATTTTTACCGTACAGAAAGCGCCTAATATTTTTTGATGAATAGTACAAAAATCGAGGCTCGATAATAACTGTTGGAACTGAAAAATTCATTGGTTTTTGAAATTTTGAAATTTGAAATTAAATTAATTGAAACTTTTAATAATTTATTGTATCTTTCTTGAGGTAGCAATGATGACCCAGCCGAAAAATAAAGGCAAACTAGCAAAGGACCATGCGGAATGAAAGAATGCGTACGGTGACTTTTAAGGGAGCCCGGAAGTCAAAAAGTCTTGGGACGCGTACGAGGCTGGGTACGCTTGGGTTAGGCTAGGCTTGGGCTTAGCTTAGGCTAGGCTTGGGCTTAGGCACAGGCTTAGGCCTAAACGTGGTCTTCAGCTTGAGCTGGGCACAGTACGACGCATCGGCTTAAGCTAGGCCTAGCCTACGCTTGGCTTTTGTTCGGACACAAAATTAGGCTAGGCTTAGGCTCAAATTTAAGTTTTAAGCTAAGCCAAGTCTCGTATTTGACTTTGGTGTAGGACCAGGTTTGAACTTATCCTTCGGCTAGGCTTAGGATTGAATTAGGTTGGAGGGTTAGCTTTGGCGGATGTCTTAAGAAGGATTACGGTAAAAGGCGCACAATTCTGATGAATAAAACGAATATCATTCATCAGAATTTTCTAAAAATTGGTAATAAGGAAATAGACGGAATTCTTTGGACCTGGAAGATTTCCCCCAAGAAACTGGAAGAAGGAGGAGGAGGAGGAGGAGCCGATGGGGTGGGTGTTGGTGGACACCGGAGGGGTGGAAAAGGGCGGGGCAAAGAGGGATGGGCTTTTGCCTTTAGAGGGGGGAGAGATAGGAAAAGAGAGAGAAAGAGAGAGAGAGAGAGAGAGAGAGAGAGAGAGAGAGAGAGCGAGGAAACCACCATAACCCAACCACTCTTCTCTTTCGTTGAGCCAGCCAAGCTAAAACACGACCAAAAAGTGTCGGTGCACCGGAAGAGAGAGAAACAGAGAGAGAAACAGAGAGAGGATTAGATAGAGAGAGAGAGAGAGAGAGAGAGAGATAATTGATTGAACTGAGGGAGACAGTAAACTTGAACTTTCTTTGAAGCTGGACAGTACATCTTTAGGAGCACCGGAAAATGATTTCATAGCTCGCAT